CATACACTGAAGTGAAGTATTCATACCACCATTTCTCATGTTTGGCTGTGCTTTTGGAAAAGAAGATTGTGTGAAGCGCTCACTACATCCATTCCCTTCCCTTATTTTTACCATAGAGTGTCAACTTTCACCCAAGCAATTAGCAAGATCTGGAGAAGTGCATCCTGGTTACTGAGACATAGAATACCATTTGCACATAGGTAATAAAACAGAATTCTCTCACATGGAATTCACTCTGCATCTAGGACATTTCCTGCCTATGTGGCGGTATACTGTAACAAGCTGTGCTGCTTTGGTTTGGTTTTAAGTGAAAATACAACAAGCTGCAAAAGTGTGCTTCTGGCAGCAGATATGAAATCTTTAAGAACTACCTCTGCTGTGATAGATACAAGAAATTAGCCAACTAAGATCTGGTCTACACTTAAAAGTTGGGTCACTTCAATTAAGTTGTTGAAAGATGTGAAAAATCCACACTCCCAAATGACACAGTAATACCAGTGTAGACAGCCCTATGTTGATAGAATTCTTCTGCTTATCTGGCTATCACTTCTTATGGACATAGGCATAGAGAAGCAGGAGTTTGGTGGATGCTGCAGCATCCCCACTTTTGCACCCAGCTTCCCTGCACCCGGGGTCAGCCCCACTGCTGACCTACCACCGGCTCCACCAGTTCCTGCTCCCAGCCTCCAGGTGGCCCTTCTGGGGGCTCACTGGCCCAGTCAGCTCTATAGCTTGGCATCCCTGGGACCCAGGTCACCAGCCTTGAAGGCTCTGCTGATGCTCACCAAACCACCGCTGGCCCGGAGCATGCAGCTGCTTTCAGCTGTGTCTGGGTTGCCAACTCCCCAGGACTGGATGTACTGGACAACATTCACATTGACAAACCTAGGCCTAACCCCTAGGGCAATGAGGGGCATATACAGGCCTGGGGGTGTGTGCAGCTCAGCACCCTCACCCTAAAAATATTTCCAGTGCCACTGCCCATGGAAGTAAATTACCTACCTAGATGGGAGAACCCCTGCCTTTGGCAAAGCAGTTTCTACACTGGAACACTACAGCCCTTGGACATCGATTTCTTCTTTTTTAAACACAAAAAAAGTTCCTTGTTGCATCATGCCATATAGTACCTTCTCCATAGGGCCTCTCCACTAGAAATGGTTAGCCAGCATAGATATACAGCTAGGCTACGTCTAGATTGCATCCCTTTTTCGTAAAAGGGATGCAAATTAGACGTATCGCAATTGCTAATGAAGCAGGGATTTAAATCTCCCCCGCTTCATTAGCATAAAAATGGCTGCCGCTTTTTTTCGGCACGGAGCTTTGCCGGAAAAAAGCGCCAGTCTAGACACGGATCTTTCGGAAAATAAAGCCTTTTCCAAAAGATCCTTTATTCCTTATTTTAAGAGGGATAAGGGATCTTTCGGAAAAGGCTTTATTTTCCGAAAGATCCGCGTCTAGACTGGCACTTTTTTCCGGCAAAGCTCCGTGCCGAAAAAAAGCGGCAGCCATTTTTATGCTAATGAAGCGGGGGAGATTTAAATACCCACTTCATTAGCAATTGCGATACGTCTAATTTGCATCCCTTTTACGAAAAAGGGATGCAATCTAGACGTAGCCCTATAGTATAAAGGCTCCCCATTTGGCCCCAGCTCATACCAACAAGAGAGCTTTTGCCTCTGTAGCTTACAGAATGGCATTTTTGATAGCGAAGTTTTGTCTACACAAGGGCTTTATAAATATGTAAGAAATGACACCCCTAGCCAACATTACTCTACCAGCAAAAGCTTTAAGTGCAAACCTGGCTTAAGTAACAACTTTCTCCTTTTTTTCTATTAAACCTGTACTTGTTGCTGTGCCTTCTGACCCACATGCCCTGGCTGTGCTATGTCTGAAAGTAGCTCCCAGTCTTGCTATCCTTCTACGGCATGCAGCAGTGTGCTAGGCAGCTCATATCACATAGAGAGACAGGGGAGCCAACAGGATTGCCACAGCGCAGGGCAATGTCAGTGGGTAGGGGTGCCACACAGAAGGGGCAGGGCCAGGGCAGCCAGTCCCCAGTGCTGGCTTGAACGTGTGGCCTGGACTCTGCAGCGGGCCGTGTGATGCTCCCATGGTGATTCTAAAGGGCCCAGGGGTCTGGCTGCCACTGCTATTCCAGTGGTGGCGGCAGCAGCCAGAACCCCAGATCATTTAGATTAACTAGGCATGGGGGCAATTGCCCTTTTTTGCTCTCCTCCCCCGCCGCTGTCGGCAGGCCTGAGGAGACAGGTTCCCTGCCCAAGGAGTTACACATGACAGTCCTTACCCTGCAATTGGCTCTGGGTGGATGAATCCTTCCACTCATGCACCACTCATATGGAGCCGATTACAGGATCAGGCCTGGAGTCTGTACATTCCCTAGTCACAGATCATGTCTTCTTTTGTCCTGTGAGATAACACACACACATCTGAGAGCTGTAAAATAACAGATAATGGTAATAAATTAAATTATTCGTTCGCTGTCCCTGGTTCAAAGAACTACATTCAATAACTTAAGAGCATGCGAACGTTCATGCTGGGTCAGACCAAAGGTCCATTTAGCCCAGTGTCCTATCTGCCAAGAGTGGCCCACGGGTGCCCCAGAGGGAATGAACAGAACAGGGAACCATCAAATGATCCCTCCCTGTCACCCATTCCCCACCCTCTGACAAACAGGCTAGGGATACCATTTCTACCCATCCTGACCAATAGTCATTGATGGACCTATCCTCCATGAATGTATCTAATTTTTTATTGAACCCTGTTAAAGTCCTGATCTTCACAACATCCTCTCACAAGGAGTTGCACAGTCAACTCCTGTGTGCTGCGTGGAAAAAAAAACTTCCTTTTGTTTGTTTTAAACTGGATACCTATTAATTTCATTTGGTGACCCCTAGTTCTTATGTTATGGGAACAAGTAAATAATTTTGCCTTATTCACTTTCTCCATACCTGTCCTGATTTTATAGACCTCTATCATATCCCTGCCTTACTCTCCTCTTTTCTAAGCTGAAAAGTCCCCAGTCTTTTTAATCTCTCTTCATATGGTAACCATTCCCAACCCCTAATCATTTTTGTTGCCCTTTTCTGAACCATTTCCAATGCTAAGATAACTTTTTTGAGAGAAGGAAACCACATCTGCACCCCATATTCAAGATGTGGGCTTACCATGGATTTATACAGAGGCAATAAAATATTCTGTCTTATTCTCTATCCCTTTTTACATGATTTCTAACATTCTCTTTGCTTTTTTTTTTTTTTTTACTGCCGATGTGCGTTGAGTGGATGTTTTCACAGAACTATCCACAAAGACTCCAAGCTCTCTCTCTTGAATGGTTATAGCTAATTTAGTCTCCATCATTTTGTATGTATAGTTGGGATTCTGTTTTCCAATGTGCATCACTTTGTATTTATCAACATTTAAAATTCATTTGCCATTTTATTGCCCAGTCACTTAGTTTTGCGAGATCCTTTTGAAGCTCTTCACAGTCTGCTTTGGTCATAACTAACCTTATCAGTTTAGTATCGATGCCACTGGAGATCCAGAAATGGAAAAATAAAATAATTTGGGAAGAGATGAATCAATTAAAATATTTGGAAATTCAAAATCCTCCTACAGATTCAGATTCTTGTTCTGAATGTGGTCACAGGCAAGAGCACAGGGTGCTGCATGTAAAAATCACACTGACAACAGCTGAATCAATGAGAAGACCAGATTCTTCTCTCCACAACATTTCATTACAGCCCTGCACATAATACTTCAAAAAGCAAGGTAATCTGTGAAACTCATTTTGTGAAAGTTCCCTGCATCTCCCCATGAAGAACAATTTGACTAGTATCTATTGCTAGCTGTGAGTGTGCTTTGCCTTCCCCGCAAGCCCTTTAAATAGAAGCAGCTGAAAGGGATCACAGCTAGCTCGTTACCTGGGAGCTGCTGTGGAGGCGCAAGCCCTTTCAACTCGGCTTGTTAAGTCTCGGCTTGACAAAGCCCTGGCTGGGATGATATAGTTGGGTTGGTCCTGCCTTGGGCAGGGGGCTGGACTTGATGACCTCCTGAGGTCTCTTCCAGCTCTATGATTCTGTGAACTGCTTCTATTTAAAGGGCTCACGCCTTCCAGGTGGCTGCTAAGGCATGAGCCCTTTAAATAGCAAGAGTTGAAAGGGCTTGCAGATCCCAACCCCCTCGACAACACGTTGCCTACAAGCCACAGGGGAGGCATAAGCCCTTTCATCTCCTGCTATTTAAAGGCCCCACCCCTTATGCTTGAGGCCCCACCCCTATTTGAAGTGGCCCTCCCTTAAAAAAATTACCACCCACCCCTGCTCTAGTTTAAAGTCTTTAAACCTTTAAATCCATTAGTGAGTGCTGGGCAAGTTGAAATGTTCCCCAGCAGGTTTCTGTGTGATACCATTTCAAATATCTGATTTATGTCCATTAATCCTTTGTTGTAGAGACTGTCTAGTCTGGCCAATACACATGGCAGAGGGACATTGCTGGCACTTGATGGCATAGATCACATTTGTGAATGTGCAGTTGTATGAGCCTCTGATGTGGTGGTTTATGTGGTTATGTCCTGTGAAGATATCACTTGTAATGATGTGTGGAGAGAGTTGGCACCAGAGTTGATTGCAGGGGTAGGTTCCTGGGTGAATATGATGGAGGTGTGCTGCATGGTTGCTGGAAAGAATTTGTTTCAGGTTAGGGGGCTAACTATAGGTGAAGGCTAGCCTGTCTCCCAAGTCCTGGGAGAGTGAGGAATTGTTTTCCTGGATAGGTTGTAGATTGTTAATGATGCACGGGAGGGGTTTAAGCTGGTGACTGTAGGTGATGACTAGTGGTGTCCAGTTACTTTGAAGTGCATTGTGCCCACAAAAGCGCATGATACTATCTATCTATCTACATATATATATATTGGTTAGATTCTAAGGTCCTGGACCATTGCTGATTTTAAGTTTTTTTTGTTACAGAGGCTACCCCTCAGACTTTTAAGCAAGAAAGTGTGGAGAATAGGCAGGAGTTACTGGACCTATGGCTCTGTTCCCTCCCATGTACCAACATTTGGAGCTGGCCACACTCAAGTGGTGAGTATGCTGTAGCTGGAAAAGGAGTCTCCTCTCAGAGGAAAGGAGACCACAGGCAGGGAATAAGGCTCAATACTGTATCACAAACCATTTACCCTGGACTCAGTCTAACCCTGTATTTGGTGCCTAAATACTTTAGTGAAGGATGAGTTAGAAATCTATAGCCATTCAGGAAGTGGTCGGTGTTTCATTGCTTTCCCTATCCTGCTCCCTTTGCTTTCCCCATATCTATTCCTTACTGTCAAAAGAAGTTTACTAGATACAAACAATTTGCTAGACTGTCCTATATGGAAAAATCAGGGATATAAGAAGCAACAGAATTTGGTAATGATATTATGTGAGATAGTTATTTATCTAAACTGTATCTGGTTAATAAGACTGCTGCTCTTCTAGAGCAATTGGTTAACACACACGTGCAAAATATATTTGTCTGTTGCACTATTAATAAGAAAATAGCCTGAATTTCTGTTTACAATGATCTCTGAATTAGAAAACAAACCTCCTAATAGAAAAAGTCCCAGTTATATTATTTATTCAAGGTTTCATATTCAATCTTATAATAAAACATCATTCCTACACAGAAAATTTATTTATTGCATACAGATGTACCACAACCAAAACATCTGCTTATCCAAAATAGTCAATATCATGGTATTTTTATCTACTTAATGAAGATAAAGCAAATAGCTAATTACTTTCTGATTAATTCAGTTTTGAAAGTCAATACACAACATTTTTCTAGAGTATAAAGTAATGAAGTAAATATAGATTCCTGATATCACTTCCATTTAGATTGTGTGAGTTTCCATCCTGTTATTGCTTTGTAAGATGATGCAATCTGACTCAAATGCTATGTCATAACAGGTGAACAATAGAAAGCATATTTACTATTAATTTGCAAAGTACTAACTAAGAATTCTAGATTTTTAGCTAATTAATAATTTGAGCAAAATCTTCTTTTTGCTGTTATGGAAATTAAATACTTCAGATTATTAAATCTCTCAATTTACAGATATCTTTGGGTGCCACAGACTTGGGTCATAATTATAATTCTTTAATAAAATCACATGGAGAGCAGAGTCTAAGTTTTGACCATCAACTAAATGCCTACATTTAGAAGCTGGAAAATACTGAACAGGTTCAACTAATAATCTTCTCCCTGGATTGATTTGTCTTGCCGTGTACTGCTTAAAAATGTAACCCAATAACCTAAGCAAACAAGAAGTCAGTTTGTTTATTACTTTTGATAGAAAGGTTCATAACATCTTGCAATGTATGAGCATTTTTTATTCTGTCTAGCCAGTAGACACTGAAGTCATTGGGGACATTTATTAAAATGCATTCATTTACTCTTTAGTATGATGTTAATGGTGAATTTATGCTTCCATAGAGCACCATGTATAAGACTGTAATGACAGTTGTTTAGTACTTTATCCACGTACAAAACTGTTGGCTGTAAAAATTCAAGAAATATAAAGAGAGGTTGAGTAGTTTAAAAAATCATAAAAAGGTGAAAGATTTATGGAACTCTGGAGAATAGCTTTATTGCTTGTTTTTAAATATACATTTCTATAGAGTTGGGATGTAGATGAAGTAGAGACAAGTTTTCATATGTAGTTTAAAACCTGCTTTACTTTAAAAACTAAATATCTACCAACACCTTTTTGCTGTTGTAAGATATTTTTAAGTCACAAAAATGTGCTACATTTTATCCTAAGATATTGTCTTTAATATTTGATGATGGCATGTATCCAACTCTACAGCTTTTATGATGCATCTGATCTTTCTAGAAAATAAAATCCCTATTCTCATTTTTATTTTATAAGCCCTTTGTCAAAAAATAACAGAGGTACAGATTCTAAGTCCAGCACATATTATGCAAAGCAACAGGTAAATTGAGACATTTGGGCTAGTGTGGTGGAATCTAAACTAGGTACCAGTGCTGCTGGTTACAAAGGATACTGGCTTAAGTTCAATGTGGAAGGGAGAAAACAATATAGGCATCTAGGACAGTGTTTCCAAATTGGTGCTCCATGGAATCCGGCACACTCCCCCACCCCCTCTTATAGAGACAGTCTATTATGCACTTTTTTTTTTTTTTTTACAAATTGCTTGACAAATTTTACCCTGGCATTCCTAGGGGTTCCTTGAAATTCTTTTAAGATGAAAAGGGTTCCGTGATAAAATTAAATTGGGAAACACTGATCTAGGACATAGTTGCCCAGCCTGAAATCAGGCTCACTGGACAAATCTCCCCCCAGGAATATTCCATCTACTCATCAAAGGGAGACATTAGCAGAGCTGCTTCACACCCACTGTTTGTTTTAAAGATCTCACACCCCATAAAAGGTGGAGGTAGCCTCTCAAACAGATATCCTGGGGCTGTCATTCCAACCACCTGCATTACAACTTCTTTGATCCAGTCGCTGACTGCACAGGAGCCACTTAATCAGACTATGTCCAAAAAACTAAACAAATCCAAAAACTTTCTGAAAGAGCCTAGCACAAAATTGTTAAGGTGAATGCTGCATTAAGACCAGTGCTTTCCACATGCCTGTCCAGGTTCTGAAACATCATGGTACATATACCTCCCTGTGATACCATTCACAGATGCTCTCTCTCTGACATGTCTACGTGTCTGATCTCTTGCTACCACCACTGCAGTCACTGTTTGCAGAGCTTGCCTGGCCTCTCTACAAGAGCAGATTAAAAAGCCTTTGAAAGGAAAAGGATTCTGACCTCCTACCAACCACCCAGGCCTTTTATATTTTGCATGATGACAAAATACATTAACAATAAAATAAACAAGTGAGTGTGTTTATTGTTAATGCATATGAGATGCACATACATTAAGACGTGGCTTCAGAAGTTATATCAATACTATATTGTACATTATTCAATAAAAGCCAATAGTGAAGGAAACTGGATTTTTTTTATGCTGCACAGGATCACTTATGTTTCAATATCTTCACATGAGACAGTTTGTCGATGCTGCTTTCATTTAATAAGTCATTTGTGGGGTTTGGGGCCAGATGAAGTGAACTGGGAATTTGAAAGAGCACTATGAGAAGACAAAGCTCTTTTAAAATTGAGAAGGCACCTACTACTTTTAAATGTGAACCAAATGTAACTATATGAAGCAATTGAGGGAATACACAGAAAAAAAGGTAATAGCACTAAGTGGAGATGGCTACAGAACAGCATTATTATTATATGTTATTTGTACATCACTGTCAGGGTGTTTGGTGCTTTGCAGACAAGGAAGAAGACGAATGCTTTGACTCAAAGACCGAACAGACTAAACAGCCAGTGTTCCGACTAAGGAAGGTGAGATAATGAATAGCAAATACTGCTGCTGGCTCTCCTTTTATTCTTCACTAGGTTCAGCATCTTGTGGGGGGCTCTGAAACCCTTTATACTTATCTACTTTCAAATCCCCCTCTATGTTGGCAGTGATACACATCTCATCTGCCTGTTTGTGTGCACCTATATCTAGGCAATGCCCCTTATGCATGGCATATGTTCTTCCTGAATTTATCCACATGCTTCTCCATGTAGGAACGAATGATACGGCCAAGAATGACCTAGAGCGGGTTGCTGCGGATTATGTAGCACTGGGAAGAAGGATCCAAGAATTTGGAGCGCAAGTGGTGTTCTCGTCCATCCTCCCTGTTGAAGGGAAAGGACTGGGCAGGGATCGTCGAATTGAGGACGTAAATGCGTGGTTGTGCAGGTGGTGTCGCAGAGAGGGCTTTGGTTTCTTCGACCATGGGACTCTGTTCCGGGCACAAGGATTGTTAGGAAGAGATGGGATCCACCTAACGAAGAGAGGAAGGAGCATCTTTGCAGGCAGGCTTGCAAACCTAGTGAGGAGGGCTTTAAACTAGGTTCGTCGGGGGACGGTGACCAAAACCCTGAGGGGAGTGGGAAAGTCAGATACCGGGAAGAAATGCATAGAGCAAGGAGCGAGAAAGGAGGACCCCAGTTTCGAATGGAGAAGATAGTGCAATCAACTGGTTACCTGAAGTGTTTGTACACTAATGCGAGAAGCCTGGGCAACAAGCAGGAAGAACTGGAGGCCCTGGCCCAGACCAAGAAATATGATTTAATTGGGATAACAGAGACTTGGTGGGATGACTCGCATGACTGGAGCGCTGTCATGGAAGGGTATAGATTGTTCAGGAAGAATAGGCAGGGGAGAAAAGGAGGAGGAGTTGCACTATATGTAAGAGAGCACTATGATTGCTCTGAACTCCAGTATAAAGAGGGAGAAAAACTTGTTGAAAGTCTATGGGTCAGGTTTAAAGGAGCAAACAGCAGTGATGTTGTGGTTGGTGTCTGCTACAGGCCACCGAACCAGGTGGATGAGGTAGATGAGGCTTTCTTCGAACAACTGAGCGAAGCTTCCAGATCGCAGGCCCTGGTTCTCATGGGGGACTTTAATCACCCTGACATCTGTTGGGAAACCAATACGGCAGTACACAGGCAATCCAGGAAGTTTTTGGAGAATGTTGGGGATAACTTCTTGGTACAAGTGCTGAAGGATCCGACCAGGGGCCGTGCACAGCTTGACCTTCTCCTCACAAACAGGGAGGAACTAATAGGGGACGTAGAGGTGGGTGACAACCTGGGAAGCAGTGATCATGAGATGGTAGATTTCAGGATCCTGACCAAAGGAAGGAAAGAGAGTAGTAAAATACACACCTTGGACTTCAAAAAAGCAGATTTTGACTCCCTCAGAGATCTGATGGAAAGAATCCCCTGGGATGTTAACATGAAGGGGAAAGGAGTCCAGGACAGCTGGCAGTATTTTAAAGAAGCCTTATTGAAGGCACAAAAAGAAACCATCCCGACACGTAGCAAGAGAGGCAAACCTGGTAGGAGACCAGATTGGCTTACAGGGGAAATCCTTGGTGTACTTAAGCACAAAAAGGAAGCTTACAGAAAGTGGAAACTTGGACAAATGACTAGGGAGGAGCTTAAATGTATAGTTCGAGAAT